AAAAAAAAACTTTTTTTGATAGCAAGGAGGATTTAAAAAATCAAAAAACATCACCAAAAAACCATTTTTTTTTTTTTTTTTTTTTTTTTTTTTTTTTTTAGGGGCATTAGATTGAATAAAACATCTTTAAGGAGGTACGACATTTTGAATTGAGCCACAGTCACCCCACATGTAGCACCGTTGAAGATATTATTCCTTAAAACGTCCTCATAATGTTCATATTCTGTAGCTACTTAGTTAAAAATCAAACATAAACCCATTCATATCCTAGAATTATTTTCATTATTGTTTTACTCTAATTGCATATTTCAACTGATCGTTAAACCGATTATTTAAAAATAACAGAAGGTAAACATTTTCTTTCCTTATTGTTTAGACTTTATGTAGGATAAGGGGAAAATGTGTACAGTATCACAGAGCTGTCATTTGGTTTCAAAATCAATTCAAACTTTCCTCAAATACAATTTACGTTGAGTTTTATGTAAACTTGACTGGATTGAACCGAGTTGTTTCCTTTGACTGACCTCAGCCAATCGAAACCAGTTCAGGACAGAGTCTGGATTCTCACCCCACATCAGTGTCTGACCTCACAGATGCACTTTCGGAAAAATTGTCCATGACCGAAGTTTGTGGGAAGTTTTCCCGGAAGAGCAGAAGCCATTGAAAGAAAACACGATTTGACTGGAAATATTTTTCGCCGTGGAAACAACGTGCCAAACATGCTGTGGACTCACGCAAATGGCCTGTGTAGCACTTTATCAAGTCCAGAGGAGTCCAAACGTAACAAACATTCATCTATTCGCACACATACTCTGGTGACTGGATGAACTCCCATCTCATGAATTTCAGATATTCTTCATTTAACGTTAATTGTTTTTCAGCGTTTTTATTTTATTTTTTTCCAATTCTTATTTTGTCCTCAACTTGTTAACTTTTAATATTTCCTCAGCAGCTGCTGCACAATTTTCTGTCCTGCTCAAGGTCAAGGACTGGAGAGATAATGAATAAAATGCCTTTTTTGTTTATTTTAAATCTATTTGTGTGTAGACTTTGTCGTGAAATGTTTCGGGTCAGAGTAGCGCGTCCTGTTCAAACAGACAAGTTAATGAGTCTAAACAAGCAAGATGCGAAATGGCTAAAACGCCGTAACTAGAGGCTGAATTAAACACTGTTATTATATTGTTGTTTTTAATTGCTTAAGAGCAAGTGAAATCTAGTTTCTCAGTGTCAGAGAACGGCGTCGGGAAGCGAAGCTACTTAACAGCAGTGCTTTCAAATGCAGTTACAGCCGCAGTAATAAGGGCCACGCAGTCTCCACACAGGAACACAACAGCATGAGCAGCAAACAGCAGCCAGCGGTAGGAGCTGCTCGGAGTTGTCATTAAGGTTAAATTGACATCAAGAAGCTTGACCCTGTATGAGTCATTATTTTACCGTGCTAATGCTGCCGGTAAAACACAGTGGGTGCTCTGCAGATGCACACAAGTGGTCGCTCACAGTCACTAAGTCTAACCCTAAGCCACCTGACACACAAACACACGGCTAATACGTACGTTACACCTGAAGGGGGGGGCGTGTGGGGTGTTCGGGTGGTGGTGCAGGGCTGGCAGGGAACAAAATACCTGTCTGTAGTTGCCAAGGGAAACAGAGGGAGAGAGGGTGGAGGTGATGGAGTCGAGGGGGGAGCGATGAGACGCCATAGAGTCTCTTTACACCAGCAGAACCGAAGGTAAGCTGATCAAGAGCACCTGAAGGCACCATTTATTACTGAGGACGGAGGGCAGGAGGAGACAGGAGAAGGAAGGAATGAAGAAAAGAGGAAAGAAAGGCAGAAGATAAAGAGGGAAGGCAAGGGTGGAAGAAGGAAGGAGAGAAAAATGCAGGAATGGAAAGCAGCAAAGATGAAGGGATAAAAGGAACAAAAAAGGAGCAAAAATGAAGAGAAGCAAAAAAGTAAGGAGGAACATACAGAAAGAACTGACTGTGAAAAGAAGAGTGCAGAAACAAGAAAGGAAAGAGCAAAATAAAGTATGGAAAAGTAGAACGGGGAGGAGAAAAGCAAAACATGAATGATGGAAGACGGAAATAAAAAAGGAGGAATGTAAGAAAATAAGGAATAAAATATTTAAAAGGCAGAAGGTAGGGAAAGGAAGAAAACGAGTCAAGAAGGAAGCGGGGAGAAAGGGATGATAAAACAGGAAAAAAAGAGGGGAGGAAAGAAAATATAAAGGGAAGGACAGGAGCAATGAGCATAGGAAGGAAATGGAGAAAAGAAAAACAAAGTAGAAAGTCAGGAAGAAAAACGAAGACTGTAAGGAAAAATGGGAGATCGAGCAAACAACCATACAAAGAAGGGAAGAATGAAGGAAGGGAAATGGACGACAGAAAAGAAAGAGGAAGGACTATGGAATAAAAAAGCAGGGAGGGAAAAGGGAAGGCAGACAGAAAAAGGAAGGAGAAATGAAAATGTTGAGAAGGACAGAAAAATATGAACAGAAGTAAAAGATAAAGACTGAAAAGTGTGACGAAAGGAGAAAAAGATAAAAGAAGGGGCAAAAAGTAAAAACAGAAATGGAGGAAAGATGATTATGACAATAGCAAAGGAAGAAAGAAAGAAAGAAAGAAAGAAAGAAAGAAAGAAAGAAAGAAAGAAAGAAAGAAAGAAAGAAAGAAAGAAAGAAAGAAAGAAAGAAAGAAAGGAGGAGGAGGAAGAGTCGCAGTGGGTCTGAAATCACTTTGTCAATATTTTTGGTGAATAATTCATTATTTCTGCAGAACATTATGAGACGGTTACAAGTCAGAGGCAAATTGACCGGAGGACAAACGGCATCACAGCCCTCATGTCCCTGCAGTGGTCCTGTCCGCTCTGTGATGAGAATAAACAGCTGCCACTGCGCGCGCTGATGGCACTGAAATTGACTGATAACCTGTCTCTGACTCAACACTGGTGCAATTTCTGCTCTGGATGTTTGAACATTTTCCAGCAAGCTTAAAAAAAATGCAGTCGTTTAGTAATGTCAGATTGCGCTCAAACTCAAGCACACACACAAAATAAGACGAGTTAAATTAGCAGCTGTTAAATAAAAAGAAAAAAAAAACACAGCTGCTAAACTTCTTAATCTCTTCTGATGAACTCCTAATTTCATCCGTTAAAGTCTCATCGTTGTATTTGTGGCGGTAAATGAAAACCAAAAGCACATCTTAGAACAACGAACCTGTGAAACTGTCAAAGTATTTCCCCAGATCTGACGTCCGGATCTTGTCTTCCAGGATGTCAGTCTTGTTGAGGAAGAGGATGATGGAGGTGTTGTGGAACCAGGCAGAGTGGATGGTGGTGTAGAACAGAGCCAGGCTCTCCTGCATGCGGTTCTGAGGAACACACAGTCAGCTTAACATGTTTTTGGTTCTGCAGAAGACGTACATGTTTTTCTTTTCCACTTATCCCTTAATAACCAAATTTTCACAAGGAGCCAGAAAACATGAGCTGCAGCAAGTTTGGCTTTTTGGGTAGCTGAGGGCGAAACTGGAGGAAGGAATAATTTAAACAAAGAGCAAAGGGAAGAAAATGAGCAACAGACCAACATGGAGGTTAATGAATGCTGTGGGAGAGACAACAGGTTTAGTCATAGCATGGGAGGGAAGAAGAGAGCACCAGGGGGCTGAGAGGAGAGCAGGACGTGTGTTGTACGACAGTGCCACCTGCAGGAGGAAGGATGCAATTACAAAAACAAAGGACTACAACTACAGATTACATCTAAATATATAAAAATAAATAAATAACACAGTAATACAGTAAAGTGTTAGTAAATTGCTTATTATTGAAGCATCCAAGTTAGGCTTATTGAGGACCTGGTGTTAATTATCTGCAGTGTTTTAGGGATTTTTTTTTTTATACACTGCTGGTCTTGGATTATAGATTATGAACAGTTTTTGTCAGACTTAAACATTTTACATAAGACAAACACACTAATGATTCTGGAGGCAGAGAAGACAACAAAACTACAAGAGGTGAAGCCTCATCCTGTCTGACTTGTCCTTCAGCCTGTGAGGTCATACTAGGACTGGCTGGGTCAGATTTCAGGAGGGTCAAGTGCTGAGGCGTTTGTCTGCTTGTCAACAACAGGAAATGATGTTCAGGTTTTCTACAAAACTTTTCTTTTTTAGGCTTTAACTGATGAAACGTTACAAAATTGGAAATAAACAAAACATGAATTGATCTGTTTCCACATTTTTTAAATTTAATACTTAAAACCTGGAAAAAGTGTCACGGCTGGCTGTGTGTTTGATTTTGTTGACTTGCTGGAAGACGAACCTCGGTTTGAAATCTGCTGTGACCTTTTATGAGTTTTCTCTAAAGGCTGCTACATATTTAGCTTCATTCATTGCCCCTTTAACTCTCACCAGTTTCCTTGTTCCAGCTCATGTCCCACATCATGACGCCGCCACCACTGTTAGCTTTCTGCTTCTCGTATCTTGGAAAGAACACACTAACGAGGTGACTTCTGAAGACAATTACTTCAACTGTATTTTATTTCAGGGTTTTGGAATAAAGAGGACCAAATGCAAATGAGCAACAACTTTCAGTTTTTTTTATCTGTAAAATACTTTTTGAGTTCTGCACCCTTGTCCTTCCAGGTCTAGGACAGATAAACACAGAAAAGTTTGTGAAGTACAAAGTATAAAATGTGCAAATGAAGCAGAATTTTAATGAAGGCCTTTTGCAAAATCCTGAAAATCTGATGGAATATTTCATTCCGACTTTTCAAATGCTTCCCAAAGCTCAACATCACAAACAGTTCAAATAATCAAAACTTTTAACACTGCTCTAATCATCTGAAGCATCTGCTTTTAAAGCCGAAACCATTTCCGAGTCTCCATAATTAAGGAAATGCAGCAGATATGCATTGGAAATATGATATAAATATGATTCGAGAGAAGAAATGGACTCATAAAATAGCTCTTATTTTATCCACTTCCTGCTTGAGCTAACAGAGTGAAGGGAGAAGAGAGCAAACTCTTCTTACGATGGTCTCTCTCTCCTCCAGGACCTGGTCGTACTCGCTGAGGGAGGCCAGGAAGATGAGCGAGGTCACGTTTTCAAAGCAGTGGATCCACTTCCGACGCTCCGATTTCTGGCCGCCAACATCCACAATCCTGAGGGAGGGAAGAAGAAAGAGAAGGGAAGATAAAGAAAGCCTGTCTGCATCACTGTGAAGGACTTATTGAGGACTGAAAAATGAACTCAAACTCTGAGGGTTTTGAAGAACACGAAAAAACTCTCCTGGAGAGTTGATCAGTGGTTAAAGTCGTCAAACTAACGGAGTAAGGCGGTCGTAGGAAAGGACACAGAAGAGAGAAAGGACCAAATTTTAGAAACGAAAATGGTAGGAGTGAAATAAAAAAATTTATTAATCAATGAAGAAACAAAAACAAAGTATGAAAGGTACAGTTACTAAAATACAAAATAACAACGAAAGGAAGATAGAATGGCAGGGATTTAGAGGAGGGAAGTAAGGACACAACGAAGGAACGAAAAAATAAAATGGCAAAATTAAGGAAAAAGGGAAGAGCAAGAAAACAATAGGAGGGAATGAGGAAAGGGCAAATATTGCATGAAAAGAAAACTAAAAAAGAAAGAAAGAAGAATGAAGGAGAAAGAATAAAACAAAGAAAAGCTTAAACAAAAATGAAGGAAAGAAGGAAGGTTTTACATAATCATGGCAGAGAAAAAAGAAAGGGAGAGTTAAACAAAAGGTCTTCATTGATAGAAATGGCATAAATAGCATTGATTGGAGAAAATGATTTAAGAACATTGTGAGCAAAGTGTTTGATCACAGGGAACTTAGATTCTTTTCACCAATGCATCTCACATTTTGCTTTTGCTAATTTCATTTGATTAACAGCATTGATTATGGATTATGGTGCTTTAATGTTCAGCCAATATGGAAGGAAATTCACACACAAAAAAAGAAAAAGCCCTGCTGCTGACTGAAAACCAGAAACATGGCATACAGTAGTAAGAACAAACATTGTTTCTTGACACTTTTTTTTTTTTTGTCGCTGTTCAAACCAGTCAAGTTGTATTTAAGAATCGTGTCATTAATTATTGGGGCAGAAAAACAATGAATTATGTGGAACTGTCCCAGTTCTCACAGATCATTCTCACGCCTACAAACTCTGACGAAGCTGCAAAAAACCAGGCGGCGAATTTAGGACGTTCTTCACACTGACGATATGTGACGCCTCCGACCGTTCGCTGTGTCAGAAGGGAAGCAGACACCTCCTCCAGTTTTCAAAAAAAAAAATAAATAAATAAATCTAATATAAAAACAGGAAAAAAGCTAGCAACAAGAAAAATAAGAATTATGTTAAAAATACGTCCAGGACGGGCTACTCATTCCCTTTTAAAGCTGCTCGGTGTTTGTGTCGCCCGTGAAGGTTTAAACCTTTAATGGTAGAAACCCTCATATGTGGGATTTGGATCAAAATCAAACACAAAATGGACACTTCACCTCTCAGCACAAACTCTGCAGAGAGGCAATTAGAAACGTGATCCTACTGTGTCCAAGCAGACGCGAGCAGACAAAGCCTCAACAGTATTCCGTGAATAGCGCTGGTATTGGATTTGTCCCTGTGAGAGGGCGGTAATGTGAGGCCCGGCCACCTTAGCGTGATGTTCTTGATGGTGAAGGAGTAGTCGTGGATGCCCGTAGTGGGAAACCGAACACGCAGCACGTCCTGCTCCGTGGGGATGTAATCGTGGGCCGAGATCCGCTCCAAGTTGTTCAGGTAGCTGAAAGACAGAGAGACTTGATGAAAACCCTGCCGCTGTTTGCTTTACATGAAGCTTTTGTAAGACAAACTGATAGTAACAGGAGACAAGTGATGAATTGGTGAGGGAAGAAGAAGTGTGATTAAAAAACACAAGAGGCGGGTGGGGAGAGCCCACGTTGACCTGTGTGCAAACAGCATCTTTATGGCCGTTGTTGAAACAAGCTGTCATTAGCCAGTGTTGACCGACTGTCCCTTATCGAGCACACATCACGATGACAGAGCTGCTGGGAAAACAGGACGGCGCAGCAATAGCAAAGAGGGACTAAAGAGAACCGGCCGGACCCGGGCTTTGTTCTGATCCTGAGCGTCGGGCTCATACGTTACACCGTGACGAGAAACAGCCGGTAAACTCTGCACTCTGACATTTAGAGCTGCGTGATCCCACAAAAACACAGAGTTGGCTCAGGAAGACGCCCTGTAGTGTTGAAACACACAGCAAATCTGTGACGGTTTTGCTTCTCGGGGTGAAACTGGGAAAGAAAAGAAGAAGACTCAAATTTCATTTCAGAAATCGAAAACCAAAAAGAATAAACTATTAATTTTGAATCAAATTTATTCAAACATAGAAATTAAATGTGTTTCTATTTGTTAATATCTAATTTGATAATCAGTTTCCAAAATAAGCAAGCATGATTATGATTTTTTTTTTCCTAACAACTAATATGTTTAATAGATCTATGAATCAAAACTACAAATTCCCATCATTTTCAGTCCACGAAGATCCAGTATGATGTATTTTAAATCTCTGTTTTTGAGGTTAATACAAAATTAATTACTGCTTTATTTCTACATTTCTAAAGGTTTAAGTCTGGAGACATGGAGGATATTGAAGAAGGTTAATTTTGTGTCCAGTGAAACATTTTTGTTTTGATTTGGTCATACACATTGAATGATGACCAGTTTTCTAGTACTCAGATTTGTGTCAATGTCCTGCTTTTTCAAAAAGTTGTTATTGGTGCCCAGAAAATGCCCACAGCATCACTGTTCCTACACCATACTTATCAAAGGCAGACAGTAATAATAATTTAAAAAAAAAAAACTTTCACTTTTTATCACTCCAGGGGGAAATAGTTGTGACACCAGTAAATTTACTAAAACAACCATTTCTTAACGTGGTATTCATACTTTGAGGCGCAGTCTTCTGGTAAGACTTTTCACATTTCTGACATTGCAGAGGCACTTCATCACGCCACTACCTCTCATTCCCAGTCCAGTCACACTGACTGCAGCTCATTTTTCTCCTCCAGAATAAGCATGTTTCAGTTTTACTCACTACTCGGTGGAGTCCAGGAGCTGATACTCGCAGCGACGGCTGTAACAGATCCGTATTCCTTGGTCTGACCAGAGGCGGCGGATGGCATCCACGTATCTCCTCTCCAGGTGGACGATGTGCATCGTGTTCACATCCTGCAGCCACCTGGCGAACCTCTAGAGAGCAAACATCGGACGGGGAGAGAAGCGTTTCAGATGCTTGCAAAGACATGGACTACGACGACAATTATCGATCTCTCAATATAATTGATACTAGAAAAATAAACGATTCAGAGATACTCATTTGCCAAAGAACTGCAAGCAAGTTTCAAACCCTGCTAACATTGCAAGTACGTCCAGGAAAACCTGAGCGACGCTCTTTTTCCGGCTGATTGGAGATTATTTCTCCATGACGCAGAGGATCCCACATGCTGACATTGCAACACTGACGTTTGAGAGCAACTGGACAAGTTCAGTGAAACTCCTGCATCTGCAGCAGTGACGCAGTAAATCTCCTGTACAACAAAACCTAACAATATCTGCTTAAATATTAAGTTCCTGGACATAAACAACCCAGTCGGTACTACTCGTCTGCGGCACAAATTAATGCAGCAAGATGTTAATCAGTGGACGACCGTCTGCTAAATATTGTCTGTTTTAACCAATAAAACAGACAAGAGCAAACTACCTTGCTGCTGTTCTGACAAATTATCAGAAAGACAGAAATTGCGCAAGGGTGCTGCTAAATACATTTGCATGTAGCAGATCCTTGTTTATGCTGTAAAAATAATATGCTGTGTAGAACAAATTGACAGTCAAAACTAAAGATAAGGATTTCTAATAACATTTTTAAAATTGCAGAACTGAATCAAAACTACACAAGGATAATAACATTGACGCTAAATGTTATCTTGTCTACTTTCTCCAAACAGTGACGTCCAACGTAAAATACATATATTTTTCTAATTCAGCTTAATTGTTCAGTTATTTTTGGTTGTGCCCTAACTATGTAAATCAAACATTTTTAGTCATATTGTCATTAATCATAGTTTTACTCTCAACCAGGAAGAAGCCTTTACTCAAAAAATGTTCCCACGGTATTGAAAACGGTATCAAATATTTTTCGTCGTATCGGTATCGAGTTCGAAATAGTCTTGTGACAACTCCTTTAAATTGAAAGACAGATCAACACTTTCTGCCTATTTAGTCCTCTAATGGTTTCCTATTAGGAAGCTAATAGGAAACCATTAGCTCTCTGTCTTCATGTAGATGCTGCAGGCTTTTTTCCGACCACAAAAGGATGTGTGTGTTTTTGTTTGAGTCATAAATGCCTTTTTCTCATTGCATGCACAATCCATTCAGTCATTAAAGTGTTTTTTTTACCTGATGCCTTCACACCTGTGTTTATATGTGAGCATTCAAGTGTAACCAAGAGCAACCATGCGTATTTATGCTGGCCGACATTTATGTGTGGGGCTCTACCTCGTTCTCAGGGCTGGTGTAAGGGATTCTGAGCGTGTTCATGGCTCCAGTCATGGCTTTGATGGCAGTGAAGATGTTCTGGTAGATACACTTAGCGAAGGATTTCCGCTCCTCTTCGGAGAAGCCTCGGCCGTGGATGATCTTCATCTGTCGGAGGAAGGTGGTTTTCCCACTTTCTCCAGTTCCTGAAGAAGCAATAGCAATGGTTGGTAATAATTAGGATTATTAAGTGAGCTATATTTAATTCCTTCACCATTATTAATGTCAGCCATGTCTGTAGTAATGTCTTCTCTTTTACATGATACATTGCTCTGGTTTTCTGCCACGCTCTAGACAAATAGATTATGCAATGAACCAAAAACAAAAAGGGCCAGATTTTGATATTTTAAAATTTTCTCTCAATCACTTCTGATTGGTCAAAATTTATTCTACCAAAAACCAAATTTAAAGGAACGTCTTTGTTGCCATTGGAGACATATGCACTAAAAGGATCTCATTTCTGCTCAGTAATCAACAGCATTTGCCATGATGTTTAGTTTCAGACTGATTTTCTCATCAAGTTTTGAGAAATTCAAAATTTGCAACATTTCTCTTGTCACATATTTTATGTGACTACTGCCACCTACCTTCACCCTGAAATGGTACATAAATGCTATGGCTTTTTGCACCCTTCTCCTGACTGATATCTTTATACAATGAAACCCTTTTGATTCTTTGTAAGTTGTCCTATGGCTTGGATATCTTATTATATCAGCAGAACTTTATTTCAAAATTCATAAAAAAATAAATAAATAAATACAAATTCTGGTCCAAGGGGCTGCAGACATGAGCAACCAGCTCACTGCAGCTTTTTATTTTTCTATGCTTTCCTCTAATACATTTTTGTTTGTTTGTTTTGCACTTGAATTGCGCAAGGTACGATGGCATGTGAAAAAATATTTTGAATTTACTTTTCAAATACAAATGTTTAAATCCCACAGACCTGGGGTGTGTATACATTGAGCTGTATAGTCAGAGACAAGAGGTTTTAGTTTTCAGAGAGCATCTCCAGTTTCAGTAAGGAAGGTAGGAACTCTTACTTATAAGATTAGACCTAAAAGCTTCCGCTTTTGATAAAGCTGGCTCTAATGAACCATGTCTCCATTGGAGAGCTGAGCAGCGTTTTCTTCACGCAACCCTTTTATTATGGATTTTAAGAGGGGTTTTATGAGGGAGCAAAGTCAGAAAGATAGCGAAGATATAAAAAATATCATTACCCCCACTACCGCAATGATTAGCACTGCTGCGGGTTAATGAGGTCTGAGCAGCCTCCACCTTGGTGACATCATGCAAATGTTTCAAATGCATTTTGTTTGCTTTGCGGTCATTAAGAGAGATGCAGCGCCTTCAGATGCTGTTGCTTCAGGTTTCCCTTCCCTTCCTTTTAATACCTGGTTGTTCACTTCATCAGTGAACTGAATCGGTCCCACAACTCAGATCCCCTACGCGAGAAGGGTCTTTGGAGTGAGCACATCTCTAATAATGACTGTCTATAAGCCTGTTGTTGCCTTTCCAATTCGTTTTTGTTGTTGTTTGCTGGGGAGCAGGCAGCTCCGACCAGGAGAGGAGACTAAAGAAGAGCCCTACACTTTTTTTTTCTGTCTTTGCAAGCTGCTTTAACAATTGAATTTCCCTGCTGTGGGGTCAATAAAGTCAAGTCCTATCTTCTCTTATCGTATCTTCCATGACTGTCTGGCCGGAGATGTTTACACTGTAAGGAAAAGACTTTGATTTCCAAAGCTGACTGTGGCGCCTGGTGTGAGTCTGACTGGACCACTCAAAAGTAGAGGAGGTTTAGAAACTGAATTTTCAAGTGTTTTTTTCTATTATTTCACTTTGAGTTTGATTGAAACTATTCACGTACATAGATTTAGATTGAAAATACTTTTAAGATATTTTCTTTCAACAGGGAATTTTGTTTCGGAGACAAGCATCCTTTACAGACAATAAAGCAATGCAAAAAGAATTTGGAAAAAAAATATATATATATATATTTCTGAAAAGTCTTTACTGGTTCTACAGCAATCAGGTATTTGCAGATCAGCTTTTTGAATGTTTTCAGTGGAACTTGAACAATATATTTTTGGTGATGAGCTCTTGACGCGTCAGGTTGGAAAGCCTTTCCATCACCCTAATCTATGCAGATAAAAACAGCCCAAGAGGCGGCGAAGCAGAACAATAACAAAACAACTTCAGCCTTTTACATCACAAACTGATTAATGTCATCTTTGCTTTTTTTTTTTTTTTTTAAAATGGCCAAACCTAATTCCTGTTTAACTGAAAACATCACAGTGGCAATGACCTGACTTTAGCATCAGGCACAAATACTCTGCAGTTTCTCATAATACTTGTCAAACAGATCTGATCTCACCTTATTCACACCTGGACTTTTTTCGTGTGTGCAAGACTGAAGCTTCTGACTAGACTGTCTCTGATGTTAAAATTTCACAAAACTTAACTCAAAACAGGGACAGAGAAAATGAGGTTAAAATGCTGTGAAGACCTGAACAAAAGTGGGACACTTGGTCTCTTGCCTGTCCTCTCGTCCCCCAGTCAGTCACTGCAGATGGACGCTCATACTAAGGCTTGATATTCTGTGAGTTTCTTTCTGTTAAAATGGACTGATCCCTCCAACCAGCACCTCGTACTTGCTCACCATGCGCTACGGCACTGAAGTAAAGGTCTTGATATATCAAGGTTTCCCTACGTTTTTACGAAGCTGAAGTTGGTTTCCAATTCCAGCTTCCGATAGCTAAAGGGCGATTCCACTTAATTTTTCACAACCTTCCGCATCTTTAATCGACTGTAGTTTAAAATCTACTACACCTAGTAGACTAGATTATTCTGTTCTAATAGCAGAATATTTAAAACCATGTTGGGGATTTGTGAAACCTTTTTCTGATTTGTGAAAACTCAATAAAGTTAGATTTTCACCATTTTTGGCACCTCTTTCGTTACTAGAACTGCTCTAATTAAAAAAACTACAACTCTTAGACTCTTCAAACCTGGACTATATTATTCTCCCCCTTCAAGCAGAATATTTAAAACCATGTTTGGGATTTGTGAAACCTTTTTCTGATTTGTGATCATATTTTATTTATCACTACAGAAGGGTTCAGTGAAAGCGCATATGGAACTGGTGGGTTCGGTACCTCAAAAAAGGTTAAGAACCACTGTTCTAGAAATACAGTGAACTGACTTGTTATTGCTCTCATGAACTTTATGTGACCCAGAACACAGAGCCATTCTCTTTCCTTAATTCTGCTAACATTGAAAACAAATATAAAATAGATACACTGATTGAGGCAGATTCTAAACGTTGCATTTCTGGTGTAAAATGTGGTCTAAGAGGAAATCAGTGTCGTCCTCCACCACATGCATTTCCCCAGGGAAACAGGTTCCATCTGATTCCTCCTCATTTTATAATCCCTGTCATCTTTTCTGCCCATTTTTCTGTAGCTTCTCCGTGTTCAGCCTCCTGTTAACCACTGGTTCATATTCCAGCAGTAAATTACTTTGAATATTTCTGTGGAGACTTTGAAGTGTAACAGCAGGTCAAAGTGTCCAGACCGAATACAAACTGTTACGTTCTTTATCCTTCAGACATTTTCTTACTCCGTTGCCAGCCGGTATATTTTGTGGTTTTGATTGTTTCAGGTTGGACTTTTTCAGGAAATGTGGCTTTATCGCTGTAAAAAATGTCTACCAGCAGTAATTTGGCTTGAATTTTAATCGTAATTTGATATAAATGAGGATCAGAAACTAAATAATTGGAATGCAGTACCGTTTTCAAATAATAATTTACCAATAAATCATGTTGTCCACAAGATTTAAGCATTTTCATTATGAGCAGGTTGCTTTAGTACAATTGAGCCCAAAATGATTCACTCCTCTGACAGATTTTGGGTATAAATAGTGAATCGTCTGTACTTGTATCGTGCTTTAACAAGTCCAGAAGTCCCTACGGTGCTTTACACCACATTCACCCATTTACGAACATTCACACACTGATGAATACAATAAACTTGTGTCCAGTAGTTTACATTCAAGGGTAAAAAAAATGGAGGTACAAACATGGTGGAAACGTGAGACTAACGTTTCCACCATGTTAAAATTACATTTTTGCAATGTAGAAAAAATAAAACCGTGATAAAAAAAGATTTGCTTCATTTCATGTAAAGTGTATGCTTTAATATGTAAAATATAAAAAAAAATAGGAGGGAAATGACATAAATGCACAAGTGACCATCCAGCATTCAGTCTTCAGTTTTTAGAACAAAACATCACAATTACTCAGGCGTTTTAAAGATTTTATGAACAATAGATCTTAAAGGCAATGTTATATTTCACATTTCAAACCTTAATTTTTTATTTTTGCTGCATGTCACTACACACTAAGTGATGTTTATATGAGCTGATAACCAGGCCATTTAAAAGCCTCATTAAAGCTCTGAAGAAAACCAATTATTCAACGAGTTCCTCGAAGCAAACTGAGAAACAACACATGAAATATCAATAAAATGCTTTTGGGTGATGGCTTTTATTCAGAGGAATGAAGGGACTGGCAATCCGTAACATGACACCAGCACCGTTTATCGACAGGATCTACAGCGTCTCATCAAAACGACCTCTTCAAGCCGGAGACGATCTCCGAACTTGTTAATTTTTGCTGCTGCGCTTCCCAAACAACACCTTCCAAGAATGATTCACCGAGCAGCAGGAAGTTGTGTGAAACGCTATCAAGATTTTACAGACAGCCCTGTTCCCTTAAACAAACATTTGTTTTCTGTCTCGTCACACAGTCACTCGGCCAATAAGACTGGGAAATAATTTGATGTTATTGTTTACAGGATGTCTACACTGTCAGGATTTTCCCTAATCCTGGTTCATTCCTGTTATCTTTTTAGCTTGCTAATATTGGACAGAAATACAACCCTGGTGCGTCATTTCACACGTGAGTTATGCTACTTTCAATGGGTCAAATTAATCTATTCAAGTTTCTCAGTCTTTTTTGTGACAGTCATAATAAAGACAAACTGCTAAATGTAGACGGAGCAGAAGTTGACATCACTCATTAATATTGACAATAGTACAAAGAAGTAGTCTTCAGCTTAAAGGCTCAAAGAAATCGTAAATATCTTCTTCTACAGAGCTTTACATCAGCAAACAATTAGAAAACAATCTAACAAAATGTCGGAAAAACTGCAAATAGTGAAGCTATGACGGACACATATTTGGGGAATCTTTTCTGAGCACCACAACCAGGAGTCCTACACATTTCTTATTTCTTTCGGGATGGATGGAGAGACAGACGGTTGTAAAGAAAGGGTGGAAAGATTAATGAATGGATGGAACAAGGATGGGGAAATCGACAGACAGATGGCTAAAAAATTATACATTGGTAGATGGAAAACTGCACAGAGAGCCGAATGTATAAATATAAAGATTGATTAATGGAGTGGTGGACAGAGAGAAGACTAAATGGGACAAATAGTAGGACAGGTTAATGGGCAGAACATTGAGACAAAAAGAGACAGCGCATCAAGTGTGCAAATGTTTGATTTTCATATTTTTAATTTTGTTTTAAGTTATCCAGACATGGAAAGCACTTGAAGTAAGTAACTAAAATTGTATTTGCATTGCACCTTTCGCAGATAAAATCACAAAGAGCATTAAAAAACATGTAGGAAAAACAGATCAAAATAACATCAAATTGATTAAACGTCTGTCTGTGTAAATATTTTTTTTAGCTGTATTTAAATTCTAAATAAATTCTAGTCTAACAGAGCGCCTAGCAGAAAAATTTCCTGCTTCAAAAAATGTGCCCAAATATTCAGAACCAACCTGAACTTTTCTAGTTTACAAGTAGGAAGAACGATGGCATCAGGAAACGTCGGCTGACCGAAGACAAAAGCTTCAAAACAGCCATAACTTTGCATCAATGTACAGCACAGAGCCACACACGTGCAATCTCAGCTCTAATTATTTTTAACAGTTTGTACCAGTTCATTTTTTTTTTTTTTAATTTGTTATCTATCTAAATTTAATCATCAGGGTGAAACACTGCCCCTGTCAGCAGGACCCCAAGTTGTTTAACCAATCCTGGCTCACAGATTTCAGGGATGTGTGTGTCCAAACGCTGCTTTCAGGTGTACAGCCAGGCCTAATCCAGATCATTCTTCACATACCCTCAAAGTGACACATGCCTTACATAGTTTCAGCCTCATTTCGCGCAGCTGCCAAACAAACAGAGCAGTTTGCGGCTGAACACAGGATAATCCTGGGCGTCATCCCCACATCCTTTAATTGCATTTCGCAATTGCCCGTAACTTTCTTCTTCGTGCCTTTTGCTTTGATTTTGTGCCGTCGTGTGTTTGAACTCCGGTGCGGCGTTGCTGTTACTCACCCAGCAGCAGGATTTTAATCTCTCGTCTCTCCTTCTTCTTCTGCTGCCTGAGGATCCTCTTGATCTCTTTGTCCACAGCGATGGCGGTCTTCTCATCCTCCGACAGGCAGCACACGCAGGTGCGGTAGATCCAGTCACAGCACCCCGCCATGGACAAAACTTAGAAAATCCACCTGTTACCAGAATAATCACATGCTATAAACCAGAACTTATAATTGTATGTTATAAACTAGGGCGTCGCTTTAATTTTGACTCAGCTTGCCATGATTTATTCCATCACACATTGAGGATATTTAATTAAAACTCTCCATACAGACTCGGCTCACTTTAAACCGTTTAAAACCTTTACAGTGGTGTTGTGTTTTTAACTTTGAAGCTTTTTACAGCGTTTATTTTAGACAAACAACCAGAGCGAACCTAATTATCCTGTTTCTTTTAAAGGCCAAGGTGGACTTCAGCTACTTAAGCGTATCTCCTTACCTCCAATCAGAGCTTCAAACTTCCTGGAGATGGTACAGGCACAGGCTCCGACTGCTTTACGCAATCCATTTCCCACCCAGTCTTCCCCTCTCCTCTCTCCTCTCTCCTCCTGCCAGCTACCCGCGAACACCTGCCGTCATTCCCTCCAGCTGATGCCGGGTTTCAGCGTCTTTCTCCCGGTCAACCCGCTCTGGAAGGTCTGCCGCGCCTACACAGGAATGCGCCGTCTCCCCTGATCCGTTGAGCGCTCTGTGAAACTGGAATGCGCGCAGCGTGAAAGCGCAGCAAATTTAAGCGGAAAACACGCAAAACCTGTCTCCACAATAAGAGCGTACGGCTTCCATTCTACGTCTCCGGTAGCCATGGTGTGTGTTCTTTATTTAACCAGGAAAAGTAACTGATGGAGATTAAAAGAATCTCTTTTCCAAGAGTAACAGCAGCATAACCCACATATAAAATCTAAAATACAAGACCAAATACACAAAAAACACAACCAAGGAAAATCTCACAATTACACATTAGGGCAGTTTCAGAAGCCAAGAGCTCTGATCTCTCGGTCATTGGAATTGATTTAAATTACCCCAAGGAACAAGACATGATAACTTTAAGTTCCTCTCCAAATTATTCCAGGTGGCAGGGGTGGAAATCTTTAAAAGCCTTTTTATCAAGATCATTTCTGACCTATGATGTCCTGAGAGTGTAGGCTGCAAATGGCTGAAATTTCTAGGCAAAAGTGATTATAAATACGTAGATGTAAATATGTAGATTCATTTATAAAATGAAAACCAGCATGTGGGAAAGTCTGCAGTCAGAAAAAAGGGACAATTTGCTGTAGCATAGAAAGTGGAGCAATAATGGCTGACTGTTTTTTTTTTTTTTTTTTAATGACAGTGAGTCATAAAAAAAACAGGTCACAGTGATATACAGCATCCAAGCTTTTCAAATGCTGAGCTGAGGAGTTCATAAGCAGTCAATCCACATAATCTACCAGGAACAGAGTGGTTGAAATAATGACGTGCCTGATACGTAACATTTATTTTCTTTTCCAGCTGCTTTGTTGTTTAATTTAGAATAACTGTTTTGTTTTGTTAATTGCTTTTTAGAATAAAGTAATGATGATTGTTACTACTTATTATTTATGTTTATTTATTAGTTTATTATTCAGTTACAACAAATGCTGCTGTTTCAATTTGCTAAAAAAAAAAAGGAATAGTTCCACGTATACTGTGACTGAAAGTTCAACAAATTGAAGAGTATGCGGCGATCAAAGATGAGGCAGAATAGTTTTGTACGTGGTTCTTGTCTTGATAATGGTCACACCCTGGGTTTATTGTTCCAAAGTAAATAGGGGACTCTGAACTGTGACAGCTGGTGAAATATAAATGGCTCCTGACTGCTTCAGTCATGCTTCAGTTTGTATTTTTTGTTTCATGAAAGCTTCCAGGTGGTTGGATTTTTCTCACGTTCAGGATCCTTCGTTGTAATTCCCTTAAGACCTAAAAACGAAACAAACAAAGCAAAACAAATTAGTTAATTTATTAACTAATTTATTAACTAACTTTATTTTGAAAGTACCAACCCAGAAGTAGACTCTTGTTGAATTCCTTTGGCTTTGCGGTGTTGCGACTGAGGGTGCAGAGACTGCGGATAAAGTTTCGCCCGCTGCAGGAGCTCACTGCTTCACGTTTCAGCCCGGTCCGAGCGAAACCACGGACCGCAAACATTTTGTTTTACTTTTATTTCTAACACAACTGGACAGCAGATTTGCACTGCTGTGTGTCGATATTTGATCGTTTTCCTGTGCATACGTTCGTTTGAAGTGTATTCTTAATTATGCAAACTAAAGGACATATCTGCTGTATTAAAAACCATATTAGGCACCTACGACATGCTAAATGTTGCAATACATCGCACTGAGCAAAAAATATCACCATAACAAAGGCTTATGAGACACTATGCAGCAGAATTTCAAAGCTAATATTTTCTATTTTTTATTTATACAGTAACATTTCTTTGTTTTTTTTTTAATTCTATTTTTTTTAAGTGTACAGCAGATATTTAGACACATTGTCTCCTTGGATGTTATTTAGATGTCAATCCTTTGTTGGAGTGTGCAGAACCGGTTATTCAGGCTTTCATGGTTTCAGATATTGAGATCATCTTAGCCCTGCATTCCTATGAGAAAAGGGTGAGGCAAGAAACCCAGAGAAAGGAGTATGAATGGTTGCTGTTCACCAGTGTAAAGACTTAAAATGAGGCTTCATTTTAACAAAGGTTCACAGGAGCGATGTGTTGTTTTGTGTCTCAAGTTGCTGTGTTGAAACAGAGTAGAAAAATAATAATTAATGCATGTTATTTTCAAAGAAATATTGGTTCATTGCTCAAACTCTTCAAATGTAGGTGTTCCAGTGACAACAGGTGTATAAGGTTAAGCACCTAGCAGACTGCTTTTCCCAAGAGTCTGTGTAAGAATGGCTCCCTCTGAGGAGCTCAGGGAAATGGAGTGACACATAAGGCGGTTTTTTAAATTTCAAAAACAAAAAAACCAACAAAAAAAAACAACTGGATATCATACGTTGGTGGGAGAGGGAGCTGTTTGGAGAGCTAATGTGCGTCAAGGCTAACAACAGCGTGTAGAGCCAGCAGTAACGCCAAAACTTTGAGCAGCCTTCAGACTAGTTGGAGATCAGCGAGCGGGAAACTTTGTGAAAGAGGCTTCCACAGCTGAGAGCAACTGTCTGGATCCGGTTCTTACACTAACTGTGATGCAAAGTGTAGCATTTATGTTTGGATTCTCGGAAGAACGTGGGAAGAAAATTTTCACCTTGATTATTTATTGAGCATTTCTTCAAAGTCAAGCGAACAGGTCTACAACATTAAAACCTTTATGATGCTTTCAATTTTGTTTAAGCACTTTTCATGGCATCTGTGGCAAATACATTTAACTACCGAAAACAACAATATGAAACAATTTTATTTTATTTTTTATTTCCAAATAGCAATTACCTTGCTGCTTTCTTTCCCTTCCAGCCTCTTTAATGTTCCCATTCTTGAGCTTTACACCTTGGACTCTAAGATTTGGGCAGGAAAGACAAGGAATGTCTATCCAAGAGGCCAAATACATCACTGGTAAGAAGAGTTTGGCATCTGTAACATAAGACCCCAAACATTGCATCCAAGAAGTAATTTAAGAGACTCTGAAAGGATGACAGCAATTAATTATACCGTGCAGCTCTAGTTGCTGCAGCGTAAAATACATGTTGGACTATCTCCCTTTCCAGTTCCAACATGACTGCACACCAGTAGACAAAGAAAGATTCAAAAGGCCACGAATGATCAGGCTCGAGTCCTGACCCCAAAGTAATGGAGTTTCTTTGGGATAGATCAGAGCAGAGTCTGTAAAGCATGCCATCTCATCCGGCATCAGTGCTTGACCTCCCAAATGCTTTCCTGCAAGAGTGGACCTATACACAAACTTGCACACAGACAAGGACAGTGATCCATGAAGAGCTGAAGCTACTAAGGGCAGTTCGAGTTCATATTGTCTTCAATTTGTGACAAAAGGGGTGTCGTTAAATTTGTTTTTGGGAATACAGAATATGTATAAATGCGTTAAATGTTAGTCTAAGACACAACAGAAGCAAATTACTTAGTTTGTGTTTGCAGGCAGCAATGTTGACCTTTATATTCAGTTTTGTTTTGTTTTTTTTGTGAATGATTGTGAATTGTTTCAGGGGTGCTTCTTTAAAAAGAAAGAAAAACTGATGTTTATTTGAATGTAATTTATCACAAAACATATATATTTTTAATTAGTTTCTATACAGAATACATCCAAAAACGTCCTAAATGTGTGCTAGCAAAAGAATTAAATACAAGAAAACAATTGATAGGGGAAAAAAAAAAACCCAAAAAGGTCAGAAGAAAGGTGACACAAGTACAGGGAAATCCTGGACGATGTACGTGTACCTGAAAAGTACCCGTCTCTTTCTTCTTGCAGCAGTAAAACAAAGGTTTGGCATTGCTGTCTGCCTTCTGTGAAGTTTCCCAACCTGCTAGTGATGTGACACAAATTCCTCTCCTCATTCATGTCATGAATATGCAGCAGGAGACAAACTGTCTCTGTCACCATACGAGGTGCAAATTGGAAGATGATCAGCGATTACTCCGCCAGCGTCAGCTCTCAGACGGCGTGACAAACCCGGCAAAACCCAAGATAGAGCGCTGCAGGCATTTTTTTTGTGTCAACATAATTCCTAACAGTACATTCAATCAGACAGAGTATTTTTCAGCTCTCAAAGTACGAGTTTGGCTGCTTCACGTGTTTTCACCTAAACATTACCAATCATCAGTAATTCAGTGCTGTTGCTGGTTTTTTATGAGGTTAGGTTAGAGAGTCTAAATTTGAGGAAATTCTCATTTTTGCAGAAGTGAAGAACACTTGTGATTTCACACTTCCTTATGGGAGTACTGAATGTGCGGAAAAACGGTATATAAATATATGGTTTACTCAGGCCCTCTTGTACAAAAAAAACCCACTAACATTTAATTGGAACATAAAAACAAAACAATAGCAAAGGTGCATAATCATGGAAGTAGATGCATGATTTAATATATGGTGCTTAAAACTTAAGTGAACTTCTTGTTCATTGTAGCTCCTCAATGAATGAATGAGTTTGTCTACTATTTCATTATGTGGAGCTTTTGGCACAAGCTGTAGGTCAAGCAACACATAGACATTCAGGACTACAGTGTTATGATTCATACCTGAAGATCTTCCCAATCATACCAAACATACCACGTCCTTGTGAACATCTGTCATGTCTCAATTTGTCTGGCTCGGCCGTTTGAGCCGTGGGAAAAACAACCTGAAAACAATGAGAGACTAATCATCATTTATTTCTCTGGAAAATACACAATGAGAGACTAATCATCATTTATTCCTCTGGAAAAAAAGGGGAGGAAAATGTATTTTTGTAAAATGAAATAAACCAGACCCTTAATTCAAATTTAAATTTGGATTAATACATACCATTTAAAGACCTATGGGAAGGAGGGGAGTGTCATTGTGATTTTAAGATAAAAACTTAAAATCCTAAAAATATACTTGTTTTTTTATACAATTATAAAAATATACTTGTTTTTTTTTTTTTTTTTTTTTTTTTTTTTAAAAAAAAAAAAATTTTTTTTTAAAAAAAAAAAAAAAAAAAAAGT